TGGAAGAGAGACAATTAGGCTGGAATTTTAAAAAAAAAGCTCCATCTTCAAGTTCTAACACATATACACAAAACACCCTTACTCACACACTTCAATCCCTATGGATTGTTACTAGCATTATAGTATTTTTCTGCAAGTAACTCTGTGGTACTAAATGCCAGACAATAACTTTGAAAGATCACACGGGAACAAAATATGGTAATGATTACATCATGGCAACAATGTAATGTCAAAAACAACTACGACATTCAGCTTCCCATGAAATATGCACGTTCCTCCTACATGAAAAACAAAGTCATGACGTTTCACATTAAAGAAGCAACAAAAAGACGTACAAGAATTCATTTTTAAGAAAGTTTTCTGCAAAGGCAGGCAGCTGAGCAGTATGGAACTGCCCTCTTTGATTTATCACCATTTCCTTTATCCTGAAAGGAGTTGATTTAATACATAGATTTTCAACAATAAAAAGTAATGTAAAGCCTAGTGTACGTTTTATTTGCATCTAGGTCATCAACTCTAGAAAATGTGCATTTACAAATGACAGACTTCAGGCAGTGCCTTGCTCCTGAAGCCCCCTTAGTGCACTCTATGAGCAAACTGAAGCTGTACCTGAGTGGAGTTAGATAGTTGGTTTTTCCACGGCTCCTCTGCGCTGCTGGTCAGGTTTGTGCGGTTATGAGGTAGAGTGAGTGCGTTTCGCTGCGGGTAAGGCACGTTTCCATTACTTCCACTTTCTGTTATGTGATTATTGCCTATCAAAATAGTGTCTGTACTACCCAGCGTTCTTGCTGTGCTGCAGGGAACGGGGCCTGCTGGAAAGGGTCCATTAGCCATGGGCTGCCCGGGGCAGGCGGGACGGATTCCACGCTGAGCGACGTTAGGCACTCTGGTCAGAGCAACCTGCGGCTGCTGACCAGAGACAGAGTTTGTAGGCAGTGATGAATCAGCTGTTGGCCCATTAGGAATTCCAGTAGATCGTACCTGTGCAACTCCTGTTTGTCTCATCTAACGGAACGGGAACAAAGCACAAGAATATTGGCTGCAGAATTTAGAAAGTAAGGATCATGCAGTGTTTGTGTACTTTTACTGCACTGGCCAATTCCAATTTGACACATCTTCACGGTTGCTTTTGAGAACCGAGATGACTGTCATGCTCATGAAAGTGCTGAGTAAATTTGAAGGTAAAGCTATCAGCACACTTTTCTTCTGAGCCCTTCAGTTTGAGTATTTTACTGCTGAAACTGGACACTGAGAGAGAGAGAGAAGTGAACAAGGACAGGAGGAGAGAGATCCTGCAATACCGCTCACTATGACTGCGTATTTTTCAAGTAAGACTCCTTTCAGATGTGTCCACTCACTTCAGTTGAAAAGTGTGGCTTGAAAATTTTTACATTATCTGGCAGCCCTATAATAAAAACCAGCTAAGCCCATTATGTTTCAACTGCTAATCCACAACTGTACTTTATACAAAAAAAGATAAATTAATGCAACGCAGCAAAAGGCACGAGAACTCTGTGCAACAGAAATTATTCAGAATTCAAGAAACACAACAGACACCATTACTGAGAAAAGTTTTGTAAAAGAGAAAAAATATTTTTGTTCTCACCTGCTGGTGTTGCTGCATCAAGACAAACTGACTCTCCAGCTGTTCCAGCATAAGTTTCTGTGCTGGATTTAGATTATTTCGGTTTGCACGCAGCTGTTCCAAGTGCTAAAAAAACAGCAGTGTGGTTCAGAATTGTTAAAATTGCATGGGCTTTTTAATAACTTTCTTGCATACAATATTAAAAAGCACCCATGAAGGCAAGACTTATAAAGCTGAAAACAATTCTGAGATTTCTGCTGCAGACTGAAACATCTTTCCTTACACTATTCTGCAACCAAACCTTATCACCAGTTACTAAAACTGAAGAGACTCTGTAAATTATTTGAGCGTATAATTATTATTACCACACTAAAATTAAGTGTGCTGGTACTGTAAAAGAAAACTACATTCAAGTATGATTATATGGAATTCTTATCGTAATTATGTATACTTTAGCACCTTTTTGTACTGTGCTATTCTTTTATTAATACTGTTCATCACGAAGTTAATTAAACCTATATTCACACACGAAAATTTCTTCAGAAAATATAAAAAACAAACCCAGAAAACTATGTAACTTAATTAGAGAGCACAATATCTTGTTACAATACTGATCTTGTTTGCAGCTGATAAATTTAAGTGTCTATTACCGAAAGATTTGATCTTTTTATTCATTTTTAGCTACTCAGCACATCCCATCATTCTACCAGTAAGTCTGCTGCTTTCAAGTGGTATGACTTAAAAACAGGATGTTCATGCCAAGCTCCCTGGATTAACAGTAGCTTCCATTCTGAAGTCCCTCTGGAAGGGACTGCAATGAGTAAGACAGAAATACATGTATGTTATATATGTATATATAACATGCCATATCCATCCAGCCTCTAAGCTGCCAACTTCGAAGATGTAATAAAGGTTTTATTCACTCTCCTCTTTTACCATCTATTTTTGGCTTTCCTATTCATATATGCTGGAACTTGGTCAAGCTAATGCCAGCAAGTCCAGTAAGTGTACTTAGATAGAGAGGCCTACTTAGGTTCTGCTTAGAGGAGGAAGTTGGATCTGGAAAAAGGTGAAAGTGAAAAGGGGGAAAAAGTAGCAGGATGTAATATGAGCAGAGAGAAATAATGAGAATGCTTGGAGAGAGAGAGAGATCCAGAAGAATGACTGAGGAAGGACCAAAGCGGTGGGGAGGTGGGAGGAAGAGGGAAGGGAAAATTATACAGTATAATAAAGCCAATATTGTTCAGAGAGACAGCTGAAGAACTATACTGGAATTGAGGAGAACACTGCTCAGTCAATCAGAATGCCTTGTCTGCATCTGCACTGTGTTCCCTTCTATTTTTCTTTGCATCCAAAGCAGTATCTGCAATACATGGGTGAAAGTTTCCAGCTAGGCCTGATTTTCAAAATATGGAATTCCTGCTGAAGTTCACAGCATGCACTAATGAACTGAAGAGACAACAAAATATCATAACAAAAAATACCTGAAATAAGATTTCCAAACTAAAATTGATCATTTCATATAACTGTATTAGATGACATAAAGACAGAAAAGCAGTACCAGATTTCATTTGAGTAATTGCATTCTGTAGAATGTGGTTGTTTGTTTATGCAGTTTGATACAAGAAGCTACCTCAGAGGAAAAGAAGATTATATTACAATACTTCTACACCTCTTTCAATATCCCCCACATTACAGCAACTCACAGAACTCACTTGGCATGAAAGTGGGACAATTTGCATACCTATCTTTAAAACATCGTAAGAAAAAAGAGCTACTTTATGTTCTTACCTTATAAATTATAGAATTCATACAATGTAAGTGTTCAGTTTCTGCCAGAGATCATTTATTTTACTACAGAACTAATCTCACCTAGAGAAGCCATAAATATTAGAACAACTTGAACTACACCCTGGGAATTATTTGGGAAGTATTTCACACTGAATTTCAGAAATGTGAAATTGAAACATGTCCCGGATTTATTTTCTTAAAAGGAAAAAGGAAAGGAACAAAAAATATATCAGAGCTTCTGAAGATCTTCCATACCTACCTGTAATTTCTGTGGTGTCAAGCACCAAGAATGAATTTGTTGCTGTACAGGAGGATGTGACACTGTATGGCCACTGCTCCAAACATCTGAAGTATTCTGAGAGAAAACATTACATTAAAACGTGTGACTATCAAAGGGTCAACCTAATTTCTTTTACTATCTAGATTTTATCTTGCTTATGAAAGAACTAGTCATTGTTTCAAGGATAACAATATAAACAAAGAATACACTAAAATACACCAAGTCTCATTCTACCATTCCCAACAGTATCAGAGTAGTCTGAGGAAAAAGTTAATGATACCTAATATCATAACGAGAAACAAGCAAATCAAATTATGCAATTAACTTAAATGTATGCTACTTTTAAAACTGAATACTTTATCTACTGTAACACTATTACATGATGATGAAACACTTGAATTCTAAATATAAGCAAAGGCAATAGACAGGATGACATGATTGTCTCCCTCTCCACCATCAGACTACAACTGTACTTCTTCCCTTACACAGCTATCTACGACTGCAGTATAGTGCCACTGACCTGCACTGCCCTTATGTCTGAACTGGAATCTGATTAAACACATCACTGAAAAAATCCTTTTTAAAATTTCTAAAAACATTCCCCACCTTGATGCCAAAGGATTAAAATTTACAGCACAAATTCTGTGCATGCTGCATCATTTGAATACATATTTCCATATAATTTTGGTAGGGGGCTCTAGTTCATCGGAATATATACCTTTGTTGGACTAGATGTTCTTTTCCTCTTGGCAGGACTGGTCAGGTCATCTACTTGGCTAGAAGGAATCATGTGTAGTGGCAAGGATTGCTGTGAAATTGGTGTTTGAGTGAGGCCTAGTACAGGTTCAGTATTTGGATGATGAGGTTTACAAGCCTAAGAATCACAGAAGGAAGACAAAAATATGGTTCTATATATTCTTAATGCTTTCCTTTAAAATTTATAATTTTAACAGCCCACACGTTTTAAAAGGGCTGAGTAGATATTCTGAAGCTGATCTCAATAATGGAAAAATCAGTTTCCATATGGTCATCAATGGAGGAATGTGTACCTTTCACGGGATTATTAAACCACTGCAGCATTTCTATTTAAGATGAAACCTTTTAAAATCATGAAAATCCACAAAGGTTCTAAATTGGTACCCCCATACTTCTCCCACATTGTAGGGAGCTTCTTGATCTAATATCCCTTTGCAAATAAATCAAAGGCCTTTTTTTAAATAAAAGCCAATCCTGTGCTCAATAAAATAAGCTTGACCACTACCGATTGTAAAGAACCCTTAAAGCTGGGCACCTGCAGAACATAACCCAACTTCTCACCTGCTGTGCTGTGTTCATGGCACCCTGCCTGGAGGTAAGCTCTGCGGGGATTGGTAGGCTCCATGCCTCCTCAATACTAGGAAGTAATTTAGTTTTATTCTGTAGACTACCTTGTGGAAGGTTACACAACTGAGCCTAGGAAAAATTATGTAAAAAGCAAATTTAACACAAGCCTACTTTAGTAAGAGCAAGTCCATGAAATCTTCCTAAATGCTGTAGCTAATTATGTCTTAAAGAGAGGACAGATTTAAAATTTTGGGTTTTAGAAAGGTGCTAAGTATAAAGAGGGTAACCAGAATATAAACCTTTGTGAGAATCAGAACAAAGATGAGCTCTGGATTCAGAGGTCTCATAATTCCTTTTTTTTTCTGAAATTGCAAACAAGAGTGAAAAGATAGTGTGTGCGTATTCTCACTATATGTTATGAGAACTTAAAAATGTAGACAATACAAAGAAAAAAAGCAAAGTGATGTAAAACAGTATGTTTTGATTAAATGTGCAAAATAGGGTTTATAAGGAATTAAGTTCCACTTAAAAATGAAGAAATAAAATATTACAGGCTATGATATGCTTACAATACACATGAAAACAGGTTATACACACCACAAACAATTTCAAGTTAAACTTGTGTGTTACTTCTCCCCTCCCCTCTGCTGTGTATTTGGAAGAGTTATTTCCCCCTTCTTAAAAACATTAGTTTTACCTGTAAATACTTTATCCGTGCTGCAAGTGCAGAGGTATTACTACAATTTTTGCTCCTAGTTGCATTTAAGTAGCATTTAATGGCATCCTGAGGCTGGTTGCAGGACTCATAGAGTGTGCCTAGGTCCATCCAGGCTGCAGCATGGCCATGGTCCAATTGTACAGCACAGATATAGGCCTGTAAAGCATCCATAGGCTGATTTTGCTGTTGGTACAGCACACTGAATAGAAAGATTAGTGAAGTGGAGAATTAATAACAAAGTCAAAATACAAACAACCCAAATAATACACATCCTCCTCCCCCCCCAATAAACTTTGGCAACATATAAACCACAGAAACAACGTATACAATTTTAACATGCAAAATTCATCTATACGCGGCATATTCAGTATTTTAAAGGATTGAGAAAATAAATATAAATTCATTATTTAAACTTCATATCAGACAAGTCTGACAACATGAAGGTATAAATTAAAAAAAGCTTTACAGTCACTCAGCACACAAAATAGTTAAAAAGCTGATATTCTTTATTTATATATATATTAGCATGGAATAATACCACTGTATTACCCTGAATCGTTCTTACCCTATAGAACACCATGTATCTGCACTTGCTTCTGATTTATCAATAGATTGCCTATAAGATATAAAGGCATCCTGAACTTTCCCAATACTTGAATAGCACCTAGGAGGAGAAAAAAAGAACTTTGGTAATATTTATAGAAGGTAGTCATTGAGGATGGCTTACCAAGACTGATTTGATAAACGTTAAGTCATGCAAACACACACACTCATCACTCGCTGTTTCTGAATGCCAGACATAAGCAGACTAAAACATCTTAACATGTATTACTAATTGCACATTTGAGAAGTACACCGAAACTACTTAAACCCAAGATCACTGTGTTTGTAAGGAAAACAGTCACACCATATTCGAAAGACTTGCATGCCTTTCCCTTGTGATACCTTATCAGTCAATAAGAACAATGTTTATCTACAGGCAGCATTATAAAGAAACAACTAAGTTACCTATTTCATCAAACAAATGGTTATAAAACTTAACGTACTACAAGACAGAATTATTGGGAGATATTGACCAACTCAATGAGGATGGTTCCTGATTGCCTGGGAAGCTTTTTATGTGCATTTCTTGCATCTCAATAATATTCAATTAATGAAAAACAAACCAGTTACTTGTACTGCACATACAGATCACCAAATTGTGCTACTCTGAATGTTTTTTTAATTTCTTACTTTAGTATTTTTCACATACAAATTCAAAGGTATTCTGGCATTAAAGGGAACTACAATTATACCACAGGGAATAATACCCACTGTTTTAAAATCAAAAGCTTCAAATAAAGCCAAGATCAAATATCTGTATATATACATTTACTAGTTTAACTTGTAATAGCTGTGTCTTATGTTGTTTGTAACAAGTTTCACTGTTGTAAAAATAACTGACAACTTTCAAAACACATAAATAGCATCAGAAAATTTATTCTAGTAAAAAATAAAAACCAAGCAGAACAGTACAGGCAAAGGTTTGTCAAACATGCTACACTCTTTGAAGTATTTTTGAGGCACACTAGGAAAGGAATACAATAAAATACAGCATTACTTTGCCTAAAAACATCCATTAAGCCTGAATACAATGTTTCAGAAGATCGTTTTAATTACAGTCTAACCCAATTTCCAATAGACATGCTTCACTCTGCTTGCTTATCAGATACATAAAGCTTCTCATTAGAACAGCACTGACATGAGGCCCCCGACAAAACTTAGGGTGATGGAGTTTTTCCAGTGGAGAGGAGGGTGGTGGTGATATGTTTTTGAAGGTAGATTTAAACCAACTACCAGCAGAGGAAGGAATTACACAAGGGAATACACGAAGAAGGAAAAAGTAAATGCACAACCCCATAACACACTTTCTTTCCTCTTCTGCCACCGTATGCAATGGAAAAACGGGGCACAGAAGCCTTTTTGCTCTAATCCTCCCTGCAAAATATAAGAGATGCTCCAACTAAATTTTCCACCCTATTTCCTGCATTTCCCCCCCTTGTCTGCACAGTCCTGGGTTTCACTGTGACCACGTGTAAGCTGTGGCACCGCAGGAGCTGGAGCAGAGCAGCTGCACACAAACAGTTCATGGAGTCCTGGCTCTGTCCTGCCGCCTAAGAACTCAACTCACAGCACGTGGAATGGGACTACTGAAGGAAAAACAGGATTTCAGCCCAGTGGAAGATCAGATGAGCCAGGTGATCCCTGGCTCCCTTTCCCTTTTCCCTCCACATCTGCCCTTTGCCCTTCACGCTCAGTGCTGGTGTCCTTCCTTCAGCCTGCACACTCTCCCTCAGCTGGCTGAAGAGCCCTGTCCTACAGAACAGCTGGAAGAATGGGATTAGCATGACAAAACCAAAACTAGGTTCCAGTTGTATTTGATCAGAATCTCCAAGAACATCACCTGGAAGATACTGAGGCTAGGATATTATTTTTGCCTCAGTCTTTTCTGCTGTATTTCTCAACAGAACTGGCCTGTTCTCATACGGACTTGAATTGTCCTCAAAGATTTCTCCAAAACCTGATTATTTCAATAGTTACTGCTGGTTTGTGTAAAGTACTCTATTGCCTTAAACAGGAGACCAAGAAAACTCATTCAATCGATATGACTTACATCTGGGAGTATGTTACTGTCTTAAAGTACAAAATTACAGAACACTTAAATAGAAATTAGAATAGATTACTCTGAGCTATCTTGGTCTAATGGACAGTTGCACTGTATGTACTTTATAAATGGATGTATACCTAGGAAAATATTTGTATTTTAGTGCAAAAGCTGATTGAGATTAGAAGGGGGATTCTGAGAAAATAAAGAGCAAAAGAACTGTGAAAAAGGTATAAAAAAAGTAACAATTTACAAAAAAAAGAGAGAGAACAGAAGATGTGGGAGGAAGAGGAGAAACAGGTAAAATCAGGCAGGGCATATTCAGATTACTGTAAATGTGCAGACTGAATAATAACTACAAAAAAAGCAGGACCACTTGGGTAACATACTTAATTTCAATTTCTAATCTATATTCATCCCAAATATGTTAGCACCTTGTCTTTTTATACACTTCCCAGAAAATGTAAGACTCCAGTACATTCATATATCCTTTCCCTTCAATTTTCCTCTGAAAGGATTAAGAAGAAAAACAGTGCAAGATACCCACAATAATGAGTATCCTCAAAAAAATTTACAAATCTAGTTACAGTGTCTATAAAGTCTTTTCTCACCTTCCAAGGAAATACCAGGATTGACCAGAATTTGGATCTGCTTCTAGAGATTTCTGGAGATACTGTATAGCATAGCTTTCCTTGGTTGCCTTGTCTCCAAGCTGATCCACGGTGTGATGCATCCAGCCTACAAAAAGAATCCATAAATGGTAGAAGTGAAATTCCCCAGGACCATTTAATACTTTGGCACAGCAGGATATTGATAGCATTGGTGTCTCTTTAAAAACAGGAATACCAAACAATAACATAGCTTACATATAATATTATGAATGTACTGTTAAAGGATTTTTTTTGTTTAAATAATTTTCTATGAGATTAGTAGTATAATTATGAACTGCTCAATCTTCTAATACAAAAAGTGAACCTGAAAATGTATACTCTCTCCTCCTCTGAACACAGATACCTACCCAGACACTGAAAAATGCCACCACCATTCTCTCTGTCGCACATATCAATTATGTAATATATATAACATATATAATATCTACACATTATGTTTACTCCTTTTCTTCTAAATTCTCATATTTGACCTGTATCTACATTTTGACTAAGATATTTTGCATCTCCACTTAAAGCTTTCTTACACTGTCATTTCATCTTCATTACTACAACATCCTTCCTGTTCACCTTGACAAATGCCATCACCTCTCATCTACATAACAAATTCATCTAACCACACATCATATTCTTTCAAAGGCCTTTTCTTCTTTCATTACATTAGACAAGTTATTCATCCCCACTTTAAAGGCCTCCCACAATCCTTTCTCCCAAACAGTATTTTACATGCAATTAAAACACATCTCTGCTCTGGCACTGACGCAAGGCTTGGTTACCATTCCAAATAAAGCACCTTCATCATCTTCTCAGGCTGCTCCTCATCTGCCTCTATGCTCAGATGGAATTCCTTCAAGCAGCCACAAAACCATCTCAGTGCTGTTCATACAATGAGTACAAACAAGGAAACCCTTTGTGGCAGGCAGCCTGTTTGCTGAAATCACTACATACCACAATGCTCAGCAATGTCTTGCTGTTCCCTCAATATCCATGTGTTTGTTTTAACAATCCACTGCTTTTCAGCCAACACTGGCAAAACGTAAGATGTGACAAAGGACTGCCCCTATGTGTTTAGTCTCCCAGCCATAAACAGTCCCTTGTGGGACACTATGATACCAATTTCATAAAATACCCAGGGTTTGTATAAAGCTCTAGTTACCTACAGAACTGTACACATAGCTGCACTGTACGTTCATTTAAAACCTCTGTGAGCTAAACTTCAGCACCTTAAGCTTATCTAAGCTTTTTGATAAAGTCTAACTACAAGGTAATATCAAAGGATCAGATTCAGATCTCATCTGAAATGCCACACAAAGTAGGTAAGACTGAGAACTGACCTGAAGAGTAGTTGTAGCTTTACTTCACTCTCTGTAATTAGACTATACCTTAAGTATTTTATTCTACCTGTTCTATACAGCTTGTTTTTTATTCCTTGGGCTCACAGTTGTCAACAGACACCACAACATTTCTGCAAACTTCCAAGCTTTAATAATAGCAATCAAAAATAAAATCACATCTACTGAACAACATCTGCCTGAGGTATTTTAAGAAATATCAGTTGGGAACTGTGGTCACAAGTTGAAGTTCAAATATTTCATAGACTGCAAAAAATGCCAGGTTAGGAGCCAGGTTAGGTTACAGTACTGAAAAGAAAAGTACTTTATCATGACTGAAGATCAATCAAGTCAGAACTCTACCAATCAGGGAAAAAAAAGGAAGTAAAAAAAAACCCAGGGATTTTTGCAGAGACATAAAACATACACAACTTTCTGTCATGAACTTAGTAAACAAGCTACGATTTTGATTCAAATCCCAAGTCTCTGATGTTCTTAAGAATACAGAAGATACTCATGCTTTAAGAAAAAAGGCTTATGTGAGGTTGGTTATCAGAATTCACCTGTGTAACTGTTCATTAAGGATATGTGTATCAGGTGCTGTGCCAGGCAAAACCTGGGATGAAAGTAATAGTTCAGGGATTACAAACAAGAGTAAAAAAAAGACATTAAACAATTTCCTGTATCTCTGGAAATGTGTGCCTATTTTCTGTTTCATCAGAACCTTGCTGGATTGAAAGATAACATGCTGTATCTTCAGGAGATCTTTATTGAGGTTCACTGATAAAAAGAACAAATCTATTTCTAGGAGACAGAAATGAGAAACAGCAATCCCTGTCTGGTTTCACTGCTGAAACAAGGGTTGTTCCCAGTTTTATCCTTCTCTGCAGGGAGGTGAAAAAGGCAGAAAGCAAGAGAGGGAGAGCAAACAAAAGTTCTCCACTAGAATAGCACGGGTAAAGGAAACTACATCTGCTCTTGTGCATGAAGTGAAGAACACACATAAAGGAAAATCCCTGGCAAGCTGTGCAGTTTCCCACCTGGAAGACCTAACTCCAACTCTTAACCAGTACAGTGATCACTCTTCCACTCTTGGGGACATTTTTAATACAGTAAACAAAACCATGGATTTTGTCCACACTTCACAAATGCTCCATGCTCTTTTCCAGGTCTTTACAATGTGATTTGGAACAAATCCCTCTGATGTGCTCGTGTAGAGTGGCCTTTTTAATGCTTATCACTCTCATGTTGAACTTGTGGCAATCACTTTTCCCCAGTAAACATCATTGTTTGTGAGGAGACGAACCTCTTCCCCATTCCAGCACCTCATGATGTCTCATCCAATCACATGGACACCATCTAGGAATGTCCCTAACCAAAAATTAATGGAAGAGTGCTTTGGGAACCTCTAAGCACTTATTTTGTTGTTACACTCTTCCTTATGCAACAGGTGAGTAAAACTGGACAAAGTATACTGGGACAGATTAGATCTTCTGTCTCATTAATTTAATGTAATTTTGGGCAAAATGGTGAAGAGAATTGTTGTCTGGAAAGCAAATGGAACAGCAAAAAAAAGAAGAAACAAACTGCTCTTATCCAACTACAGATCTTACTATTATGTCTACCTGAGCTAGTCAGCACGAATGAGCTCGACTGGGTATATGTTTATCTGGGAATCACAGGGTTCTCCTCCACAGTCACAGCTGCTAAAGACTAAATCTGCGATAAACACCACACTCTGATAAATACCACTGTTAACAGAAAAGAAATGGCATTATTCCTTCAATATTCTGGTTAAGACCACTCTATCCCTTTCTCCACAGAAAAGCTACCCACACAACAAAACTGGGTGACCTATGCTGATTGAATAAAGACAGTTAATCCAGTTTTCAGACAGCAGACAATTCTCAAAGTCACTGCTCTTACTGCTCACACAGAGACCTGTGGCAGGATTTTATGAATACAGCCATGTGCCTTTGCTTCTATTGTGGCAACATACATCAAACAGAGCTGAAAAAGAACTGGTCAGCTCTTTTGAGAAGCCTGTCTTCCACTGATCAGATGTACAGCCCTTCTGGATGAAAGTGCTGACAATTTATGCTTGGTGACATAATACCAAGCTAAAAAAATAAATTCAAAGGGCTTATTGAAATATAAGCAACACTGTCCTGTGACAGCAAAAAGAGCAGCACCCAGAGTCCTGCAGTGAATTCCTCCCACAGTTTCATTTTCATTTCATACACAGATGACTCAAAATTAGCCCATCAATTTTGACATTCTGTCACAGATGAAAAATTATCCCACTCCAAATCCACACACAACCTGCATTACAGAAAAAAGAAAGCACTGTGGCCACAGCTTGGTGCCAGTTACAAATCTGAGTTAAATGACCACTACGTAAAGAGGGAAAAAAAATAAAAATGGGCATAAGCAGGCTAAATTAATATTTAGAATAATAAATTAGATGAAGAACATGGAGAAGGTGAATGAAGAAGTTTTGCACTGGGTTGAACAATTTTAACAAAATATTCTGGAAATATTTTATAAGGTATATAGGACACAACTGTTTTATTCTACCCATCCACTAGAAATTTTGGTCTAAAAATTATTTAGCAGCTTTCTATAAAAATGGAAAATGACAATTTTTAAAAAATAATTCCTTTTCAGTTTTTTATGTGTTTTCTTTTATGGAATCTGATGATAAACCTTTTAGTTACAGAAATAGGTTTTCATTACGTAGCATAAACTAGAGAGAAAGAAAAGCTAAATTTTTCAGTTGCCATGTTCTTCTAGTCTGCAACAGAGAAGAGTATTTTGGTTTACTGCATTTAGCCTGGCTTTTCAAGGGACGTTATTGGAGGCAGAACAGAGAACACAGAATTCCAACTGCTGCACTCTTTCTCTGAAAGCCCACCCCCTCATTGCCCAAAATCTGTAACACACATACTGCAGCAAGTCTAGAAGCCTTTTAATTTTCTAAGTTTAATTAAAATATTTTCCTCCTCTCTTATTTACTTTATTATCTACTCTTACATATTCTGTTTTGGGTGAAAAATCTCACGTATCATACTCAGTGTGTCTAAGACTCGTTTGGAAACGGAGCCTTAAACAACACTGCTGAAGGCAAAGATGGAAAAACGAAACACAGAGGAAAAATAAAAGTTAATTTTACATACCTAACTGCTGTAAGACAGTTGCTTTTACTTGTGCAGGAAGGTTTTCGATCTGCAAAAGCTGTTCATAAGCTTCCTTTGCAGAGTGATACTTTCTCTGCAAAAGGAAAAAAGTAAATGGATTAATCATAGAGCTTACAACAGATCACCAATAGCAACGATTTCACAGCACTGACAGCACACAAACACATTGACAAAAAATTCTAGAATTTTTTTTGCATACAGTGCATATGAAAGCTTTAATGAGTGACGTATATATACGGTAGGAGAATAACTGCCATAAATATAGTATTTAATATAAACTGACTACGGAAAAGAATTGAGAGAAACTTGAAAATTATTAAATTGGGTCAACTCCTCATACATGCATTATGCTTTTTACTCTAAAATGAATATTCTGCTTTTAAGGGGAATACTTGAATGTGAGTGTATATCTGAGAAAACCCTACACAAATTCCTCCCAGGAAATCTGTAACAGAAGTGAAGATCATCGTTAATTGGTGGCTGGTATAATTTTGCCTCTTTCCTTCCTTTGGTATATTTGAGCTGCCTCTTTCAACATATTTGTTGTCCTAGTAAGAGTCCCACCATATGCAAAATTAAAAGGACTGTGCCTGGGTAATAAAGGTATGCCATTTTATTATCTGCTATATAGTTTAAGTGTGCTTAGAGCCTGGAAACACTCAATTCATAACTCCCTATACAAACAGGTGCTGGTACATAACACACATTTACAGGTTAGGACTGGAGTCTTTATTGACTTCACTGAACAGTATGAGCTATTTTGTATATATTAAAGGCTAAGATTTCTCAACAGATGAATTATTTGGTAATAATGTCAGCATTTAACTTTGCATTTTCTAACAATAATTGCTTAACAGTGAATGTATTTTAAATGTTCAGTTCTGTTCCTCCTCTCCCACGAATATGCTTTCAGATAATCAACAGTACACTTCATCCAGGCAAACAGATGAAGAGCATATTAAAAGAAATGGGGCCACCTAAATGCAAATGACCATGGCTTAGTTACATTTGTTTTAAGCACAGAGTGCACAGTAATGAGTACTGGTGCTTTAAAAGGGACTCTAAACAGTATAAATACCTACTAGAAGTTAAAAATGTCATTAGGTTCTTGAAATCTCAAAAATCACAAAAGACAACTCTGGTGATTTTAAAACCTTATTCTAGTCAGGAAGAAAAATTAAAGCAGCAATTACATACTTTCAAATGGAACAAGGGGAAGTTGGTAGGAAAGATTTTTAATTGGTGTTCATGAAATGCAGACAACTGGTAAGAAAACAAATAATATAAATAAATAAAATATCCATGTCCAGCAAAAGAAAAACAATCAGGAAAAAACTTTAAATTTAGCATTGGGAACAAAATTTGTAGTTTATGACTATGAAGGATAATAAGCAAATGAACAGAAGTTCACTGTAGAGCATGAGAGCAGAGGCAGCAATCCAGATGTCAAATAGGTCAATGTTAGTGCCTAATATTCACATTTTGAAAAAGATGTTTACATGCTGGGGAAGATTCAGAAATATCTATTAAAATAGAGCGTGTTTTTCAGGTTTGGAAATTTTTTTGCTTTTATTTCATAGAATCAGAATGGTTTAGGTTGGAAGGGACCTTCAAGATCACCTAATTCCAACCTCCCTGCCATGGGCAGGGACACCTTCCACTAGACCACGTTGCTCAGAGCCCCATCCAACCTGGTCTTGAACACTTCCAGGGATGGGGCAGCCACAACTTCTTTGGGCAACTTCCAGTGCCTCATCACCCTGCCAGTGAAGAACTTTTCCCTTATATCTATATGTTAATTCCAAAGATCCATAGTCTTTGATGTTTGGCTGCATCATGAATGGTCTTAGAAATGCAAAAGGGGAGGAGAACCAAACACAACATCTTTAGATACCCTATAAGCTCCCTCACGGCCACAGATGAAATAACAGAAACTGGCATTAAACACCATGAAAACCCACTGCAAATTCTTATCAGCACCAGGCTCATCTCTTGTTCAGATGCTGACAATCTATCATTTAAACTCCAGTACTGTGGTACTTAATTAAGGAATGAATTAACTTCTATAATATTAGAGAGCAGATAATTTTCAAACACATGGAGGAGCTAAAAAACCCCTGTTTCATTGTGTCCTGTAAAAGAAACCAAGCAACCAGCCTGCCTCCAAAACCTCTCTTCATTGTGTCAGAGGTAATATTCAGAAGTCAGGACCCTTGTGGTTCTCAGTTTCTCAAATTCCAAAAGACAAGATACCCCTCTCCCAGCAGAACTGAGAGACAAAACAAATCTAACAGCAGAATCCACCGAAACGTTTTTGCTCTGGCTCGCAATAAAATGAAGCTCCTGCTTCCTGTAGCTGTCAGTCAAAAAGCACAGTTTAAGCACTGCCAGCACTGGTCACACAACTATTCAGGGCACCTGAGGCGGTGACCTGAGGTGTTCCACTTGCTTTTGATCTGCCAGAGTTACAGAACCAGTGCACTGAGGAAGCTTTGTCATATAAATGTGTCAGAGGTGCTCCAGTGCCAGGGATGAAATCTGGATGGGGGCCAAATAAGAACCATGACATTCCAAGAAGCTGCTTAATGGTGCTCTGGGATGGGAGATTTCTGTCCTGTCATGAAGCTGTGCACCAAAAGCACTCAAAAGAAAAGTATTTTGTTTGTCAGATCTGTATCTTTTATTTATATATAAATACTTAAGGCCATTTTTCACTGTGCCATCAAAAGACAGCACTTACTTCATCAAGCTACTTTCCAGCTGACTGAAAATATAGTTTACGTCTGTCATCCATTTCAAATACAACTGGTTTTGTTTTCATGTCACATCCCTTCCTCGGTCATATGATATGTATAAACATGATAGAAGGGCACAAAATCTAGATTATATAACCAGTCAGTCAAATTACAAATATACAATAGCTGTTTCAGTAGCTACTTGGGTTTAATTTATTTGTGTTCTGGAAGCTCAGGCAATGTTCTATAATTTCCCAAAGGATTCACCTAGAAAACTCCATGGTAGGATTTGATACAGAATTAATAATCTTTATGTGCCGTTGACCTCAGATTCCAAACGTCACATATCTTCAGTTCAATTTGAAAACTGAAAAACTGAATTTGAAAATTTCATGCCAAATATATTTAAAAGACACCTAGGCAACTGTCTGGAATTGGATTTATGTATGTGTGTGTATATATGATACAATATATCTATGATTTGAGGAATTACGTATTTTATACATATGTTCAACTTCTTAAATATGAATATAATTTCATAAGAGAATTTTCCTAGAAGTTATATTTTGGGATTTCTTTTTTGCACTCAATTTGGGAGAATAGTAAATCTATTTTTATTAAAATAGCTGCTCCATTTTACAGCATGACAGTCCACATACAAAATATTTTTAATTTAGCCAAAGCAAAAAAAGTTTCTTTAGTGATTCAAGACTTAAGTCTAACTTTACTAAAGCATCTATAGTCTAAATTCCAGAGACTGACTACATCATATAGTTCAAAACTCAACCACACTTTATAACTATGAGCTTAAAGCTTACCTGGATTTCATATAAGTGGGCAATGTGAAACTGAACTGTAAGAGTGGGAAAATCAAAATGATTAGTTTTAAGGAACAACAACAAGATGTTTTTTCAAGTGAGGACTAAACAACATTTCAAATTTATTGATGCAAAACAGACAAATTACATTTTTAAGATATTAAAAAAAAAATTTGTTTACATTGATATTTTACACTTAATATACCAGCCCTGACAGAGGATGAATATGTATCCTAACAAAGCATGAAAAATGTAAACAGATATCGCAAAAGGTAGCCCATGGATTTTATCTGTATTCTGAAACACAGAGCCCATTAACTTTTCAATAAATTTAGCAATAAAATCTCTTTAGGCAAAGATGCACAGTAAGAGAACACAGGTAATATTTTCTGTACATAAATGACTCAGAAATAAAGATTTTCATTCAACTGCAGAGAGACAGACTAGATGGGATACAGAACAGAAAACTATGTTATACAGTGCCAGACTAAATTTAGGTGGTTTTCCTTCCTTTTTAGGCATTGTCTCTCCCCCCCACCCCGTGAAACTCAACTCAAAGAGTTAATTACAGATGATATTCTGATCATTACTGTTAAGCATCTTCAATTCCTCACACGGATTGCACAGAATGCCATAATACTACCAGCAGCTCTAGGAGGCAAGAAAATTGCTGGCTAGAGAAAGAAAAATGAAAGTTGTTCAGGAGTAAAATCAGAGGGAAAATTATCCTCATGCTGATCAAATCATTGCATAAAAGGTTTGAGAACTGCTACCCTAGACCAGCCATGGACTGGTAGATAGCTAAAGCTAATTGAGATGAATGTAATCCTTATTCTGTTTTGATGAGGAAAGAAAAGTTCCTTTGAGACAGACTTCTGCCCGATGTTCTTGAGGATTACAAGTAAGAAAATACCTGTGTTTGAGCCAAGCTCAATTTATTTCAATTACTGAGATTCCCTTCCCTTGAAGCTATAGAATAGTGTGACACCAAATTACCATACAGGTAATTTGGAGTTCCAGGGTTTCTCTCTGGGTCATAAGGGAGGGGAAGATTTCCCTCTGTGCACTGCTTTGTCCTTCACTATAAAGAAGAAAGTCGGGTGCACTTTGGAAACCAGGTCAGAATGAAATGTATCATCTAAAATTTTAATAAACTTTTTGTGCTCCTTGCTAAAGGGCACATAACACACCCATTATGTTCACCACATCATCAAACTTCACTCTGTACTGATGAAAGAAAAAACCCTGCTTTTGTTTCAGGAGTTCATTATCTAAAAAATCTCTCTTTAATTTTTTTCCCCCATAACAAAACCCTTTCAGTGTGAAGCTCCAAAATGAAGTCATGCCTTGCAGGGGAAAGAAATTAAAGGTATCACATTAGAGACTGCCTAAGTAGGAAGAAGACATGCTTAATACTCAAACATTTCTGTAAGGAACACACTCAATGTAAGGCAGTGAAGCCTTCACATGAGGCCATCCCTCTACACAAACCTGGGGGCAGAGGGGATGTGGGGGAAGGCTTAGGAAAACCTTACAAAAACTCAGAGATACAGTGAAAACTGATAAACTCAGTGAGAAAGAATAGGAACAAACATGAAATATAATTAAAGAATCACATGTCTGGTAGAAAAACAATAAAAGGCTATTGACTCAGGGAGGACTCTGCAGATTTTTACAAAATTATCTGTTTCTGTTCCTGATAAGTGACAAAGCTTTGAAGACGACCTTGGAGCACAGCTGTCTCCTCAGTGCTGATAGAGCCAGTGGTTTCACCCATGTAAACAAACTCCCTTTCAATGCCCTTGCTGACAAAATATTCACTATTCCATCCAATTCCTAGAGAAATGCTTTTAAATGTTTTATCCAATGCTTCTGAAGTGAGACTTAGGAGGCACCCTAAGCTCAACAGCACGAAGGTACCTTAAAAACTGAAGGAGTAACTTCCTTCACAACTCTATGCCTTTAAATTCTTACAGACTCCAAAAACATGCAGGAACATACACTTATTCTTGCATAAGAATTCCACTAACTCTGGATAAATACCTGCTCTGTAACAGCCTACAATACATGATGGATCACACTGCACTAAAGATTGACGTGTTCAAGTACAGACTAATATATGGTTGGCACTGAATCAAACAAAAAATCAAGTAAGTTTATTACTTTTTCTTATTTCTACAGCCTAGGACTGATGCTGAATTTTAGATCTATAAATTTAAATGGCATGAAAATAACCACTGAAAATTGACAAATAATCAAGATGCCACAAAGTTTTAAATAATCACTCTTAAACGTGTGCCATGGCACAAGTACTGTGTTTATAAATAAATAAAAAAGCAGTCAAATTGTACGTTTCCTCCAGAATTCAAGTCTTCAGAGCAGTGATTAAGTCTCAGTTTTTACTTATTCTATTTACTAAAACAATCCCCAATTCTACTGGAACATCTGTCTCCACTGATAGATGGAGAGAGGTTCTGTAGTCTCCCTTTCTCAGCACCTTTTTTTCTTCTCAGTACCTCTTTTGATTTTGAAGAATTGGTTCATTAAAAATTGATGCAGTTGTGAGCATAAGACTTAAAAAAAAATCCACAACAAAATAAATGGAAATACTTATATAGGTTACTTACTTTCAGCGTTAGACAAAGTGCAGGGATTGCAGTCAATCAAAGCTAACTGAAAATGCTGGAAAAGAAAAAAGAATTATTTGCTTTTTCAAACAAAGTAATACTAGTACTTTGGCAAAGTAAGAGTAAATCAATTTTGTACTTGAAAATCAATACCGCATTTTACCAAGTGTCTTAAAGAAAACAATTTTCAATTTCTGTTCAACTGTTTACCAGAGGAAAGAAAATCTTTTTTATTGCAACCACAACAATGCTTGTAGTAATGTAAAATGGCAACAGACATCTTCACAAAACCACTGGGATAGCACCTGGAAGAATGAGGCACCCAATGAATGGTCAAAATTGGAAGATCAGGTTTTCCTCTGAATACCCAGCTGGGACTGCAGAGGTACAGGCTCATGGCCTCGTGGAGATAAATATCAAAGCTCTCAACTTGTCTGTCTAGAAAAAATAACACTCTTCCTTCAAATTCAGTGACTTTAAGCCTTTAAAAACTGAACTTCTGTCAAAGAGCACTTAATACAAATATCTTTGCAGTAAAACATGAGTTCATAAGGGGTTCCTAAGTTCTTACATCTGCTTCTCCAGGTATTAAGATAACTTCAGTTAAACATTATAGGTTGTAAAGCTTCTAAGTTCTGAGGCAAATATTGCATTCTTCTAGAAAGAAGGTCACAAAAGCAGAGCAATGAAGCCTGTCTGTCTGGATGTGAGCAATCATTTCACAAATGTCATGTTAATCCACTGATCACTATTCACAGTTTAAAAGACAAGTTTGTTTAAAGGAACAGAAAAGGCACAGAAACTCCAGCGCCTCTGAACTCTTCCATAAAATTCAGAGAAAATCCCTACACGGCGTAGAAATTGGATTAATATATTAATACAACAGAGAAATAATGTTAATAAATACAGTTATCTGCAAAATACAGTTTCAGGTGGCTTTTAATACACAAAACACGATTGATGCTTTAGTATATTTTGTTTTGCTAGCACAAAAATGATATTTTAGCTCTGACTATTCAGGATGCCAAACTAGGTGGCATCAAGAGCTTCCTGGTGTAGCTGGGAAGAAAAACATAATCCCTATCGATGGATATATACAAATCACTTTCAGTATTGTCATACCCAGAGCTACTACATACTACTCAACTTTCCTCATGGTGCTAATAATACCTTGTGTATGGCATATCAATGTAACACACAACTCAAAGATTTGTAAGAGTTTAACAGACAAACAAATAGCTCAGAAACTCTAATTTTAATAGAAAAAATATTAGAAAATTAATGTATTATCCATAAAAAGAATGCTGATGGTTTTAATGAGCTCTGTGAGGCACACACTGATGCAGCTCACTCCTCACTGACTACTATCATCATTAGAAATATATAATAGCCTTTAAAAAGAAAACAAACTCAAGTAGAATGATAACACAAATTTATGACTTTTAATGAACATTTTAGCAATGTCATCCCCAGAAGTGAGCACAAACCCCAGTGAACTCACGTATATTTTAATTGTGAAATCACTTTTTAAGCTTAGAGAGAGTAGTAAATAATACCTTATAAGTAATATCTTATTTCTCTGCTGTGCCTGTTCCTTTTTCTACTATTCAGCAGTCAGACAACTTACAGTCTCCCCTCACTTACATTGCAATGCAGGTTGAGTGCCTCAGAGACATCCTTTAGTCTGTTACCATAGTGATTCTACTAAGCAGGCAACTTTAAAAAAAAAAAAAGAACTAAATAAAAATAAAATGCTCTATTTTAAATTGCATTTTACCTGACAAAAGAAGAAAAAAAAAACCAAACCGCTTTGGCCTGTAGACTGAGTATTCCTGATCTAAAAGGTACAAAATCCTTCTTGTACAGATGTGTCATCTTGCACTGTCACTTACAATTCCTATGAGAAGGTAAAGCAGAAAGGAACAGATCTGCTCTCACCTAGCAATGCTATTATAAAAAATAAGCAGATCTAAAAAGAAACAATTGACAACTGTTCTGTAGCAGCTTTTCAGAAGGGTTATTGCAGCGAGACTCACTGCGAGAAGGCAGGCAACCATATAAGAAAATGTAACCATTTTAATATATAAATATGTCAACAGTATCAGTGATATACAGCAAAAAAAAAAAAAGGCAGGAATATTCTCAGCAATGTCTCCTAAATTCTAAATTTCCATTGCTACATTTGCCAACTTCTGTATTTTAAAATCCCCATCATGTAAATTTTTTAAGTGTAGTAAATTTCTACAAGGACTGTTCACTGAGCTCCGAACAGTAAATAAACTGATAAACCAAAGCAGGAACTACAGAAAAATATACCATTTGCATGAAACAATTATCACAATTAAAAGCAAACCACAGAAACCCCAGAACCTTTCAAACCAAGAACCTCTGAAATGCACATACATGAGCAAACCTACACCTCTTGCCGGATAAATAATACATAGCTCCCCATTAGGTATTCAAAATCAGACCAAAAAAAACCCCCATGCATGCATTTTAACACATCAACCTCATCAGCCAAAAGCAAATCCACTAATCACAACCACAAAAAAAAAAAAAAAATTAAAGAAAAAGGAATAATTTCCAACTTCCATTTCTGCAACCAACAGCAGCGGCTGGCAAACATCTGCACCTCTCTCAAATATTGCAGCACTGAGGCTGCTGCTGCTGCTGTGTGGAATAGTTGTTATGCAGGAGAGGCCGCTGCAGCTCAGAGACGACACACAATACCTCAAGGCAGACAGCACTCTATAGAAATTCAAATCCCGGGTAAGAGGATTTACCTAGAAGGCAGTGTTCTGAATGTTAAAAACTAACAGCCTCTCTTCAAGGGCTGCGGCTCAAACCGTAGGCAAAGAATCGCTCAGGTTAGACAAGACCTTTCAAGATCATCAAGTCCTAGATCCCCTTGATTTGTAGCCATCTGTAATTGCACCGTTATCTACAGACTACTTCGTCTCCTCTGGAGTCCTTGACTTGTCTCTGATTGTGGAAACAATTCCGCAGGTAACCTTTCCACGGATGAGAGGAACAGTGGATTCCATATAAAGAGAACTGATGAAAGCACTAGGTCTGGCAGTAAAATAACAGTAATCTGACACCGATTTAGGTTACATTAACATATTTTCACCACTAGAATTAACACCAGTTCTTTACAATTTAAGAGACAAGTACCCAAGTTTTGGTTGTTTCTTTAATCAATAAATGACCAACACAAAATGAACTGTTTTCTTCTCAGTGCAAGATTTTAATACTGTCTCTGTTTACATCCAAACCTGAGACCTCAAACCAGTGATTCTCCTCCCTCCTCCTCTCCAGGATGACATCAGCAAGTCTAATAGCTCTCGGTTCTGCATTTATTTAGCAAGCAAGGCAAGCCATCATCTGAAACCTGACAATTCTCACCGACTTACCATGAAGCAAAGCTCCATCATGACTCAGTGAAATTCTGTCAGGAGATGGCTTTTTCTGCCTATGTGACCTAGGTGTGATGCCCGTGTTCCTCAGAGCAGCCTTTGTTCAGATAAGTAGGACACGGAAAGCCTTGCATAACCAGCCAGGGCAGCGAGCCAAGCCTCCATTTGCCAGGGATCTCTGGGACCAGGGGAGAAGGTCAGGAGAGGACACGTCTATGCACTGCTGCAGCAGCTCATCGTGCTGCTCTCCAGTGCCTTCTGAGATCAGAACAAATTCAGCTTGTAAGATGAAGGTTTGTGCAGTGTAAAAACCTTGGTTACTTCTGTCCAACGTTCAGAAAAAAAAGAAAAAAAGAAAAGACTGGGGGAAAACTGTTACACAGACAGGGCAGAACAAAGCTGCTTGAGGACAGAGGGAACAAAGGCCACGTATACAACATACGCTGAATAGCAGCACTATGCTCTGAAAAATCTCTTGTTCTGACTAGCCCGAAGGAAAAAAAAATATTTTCAAGCAGAACAATCCTACAAGCTGTATTTTCACCAGCCAAAAGAAGGCTGCATTTGAATTTACTGATCAGCACCTCACACTGCGATTTTCACAAAGCTATCTCAGTGCTCACCGCTGCCCGCACGTTTCATACATTATTTCTGCAACATCAGAATTTAGCTATTCCTGTGTGAGGAGCCTGAAAGGCTGCCAGCAGCAACAAAATGCCAGAGGGAAACGGGGTGACTGGAAGTCTGCCGCCGCTGCCGCATCCCCGGCATCGCCACGGAGCTGATCCGCCCCGAGCTGGGGTCGTCTCAGGACTCGGCCTCCAACCCCCACAGCCGCCCAGGCTGCACGGAAAGCTCAGTCCTTGCCGGGAACCTGTGCCTACCCAGTTATTGCTGTATGCTCTGAATGCCAACCTCAGAGTTACACCTAATAAACCTGCACCAGCCCGGAGCGAGACACCTCTCACCAGGAGAAGGTCCATGAATGAAGTGCACCGGCAAAAATACTCCTTAGAACTTGAATGCTCAGCTTCTGAATCAACTTTATTTATCTTCTCATGGTTTGTTCTTCCCCACCTCCCAAATGACCAAAGATGTCACATAGAACATTAACTCAACTTTGGCACTTACTCCTCTTCGTAGTCATGACAATTAGCCAAAACCCCAAGCAAAACTGGGTAAGAGTGAACAAAAGAAAACAGCCTGTAGGTCAGACAATGTGATACCAACACCCACTGTCAAAACCAGTCACACTCCTAACTCTCCTGCAGTTTGATTACAGTGCCATGCCACATTAAAAAACTTGGTTTTACTTCTTGTCTATGCCTCTCCCCTCCACACACATGCAAACTACAAAGACTCAGAGAGCAATTTCATTCTCAAATGCTGCTTTCCATCCACTCACATTTTAATTAAAATCATCCTCTGACTCATTTCATCTTGCTTTCCACAGAATTTTATGTGAAACACTTGAAATCTTGGATATCCACCTTGCAAGAGCTAAAGCCCTTTTCTTTGTTTTTTTACATTAAAAAAAAAGCAGCTGTTTCTGGTAGAATTACAGGCATAAAATGAGACATAAGAAACCAAAACTTCTCATAACTGCACATATTCAGACTAGTTAATTTTTCTTCAATAACTAGAAATAAATACAGAAGATTTCAATGTCCAATGTTTATGCTTAAAAATTACTAATCTAAGCACACATGAAAGATAACTAGGTGGTGAAACAGCATTTGAAGGCCTGAAATCACAAATTTTCTTCACTTTAATGAATACTTGTTTACTTATTACCCAGAAAAAGAACATAAAAAATGAATGATATGTCTACAACAGCTACATGTTGGCATACAATAGCTGCAGTAGCTAAAAATATCTTTCATAAAGATATATATACACAGGAGAAATATTTCAATAAGTGATGGAAAAGTGTCTGACTGATTATAAATAAGTACTTCAAGCTGTTCATCTGTATATCACTATTTAACTTCTTTATATTTCATGCATATGCATACAATTCATGTACATTTTCCCAATAAATTTTAGTTCTTTTGCAGCCTTTTTCTTATCCTAATATAAGCAGCATGTCTTAACATTACTAACAAATGAGAACCTTTAGAAGAATAATTAAAAAATTAAAATTATATTTCAATTGATGATTTATGGGCAAGATGAAAGCATAAGCCTGAAGCAAACTACTGAATAACTGTTTTGTGTATAAAAAAGGAAGAAAAATTTTCGTAAAAGAAAGGCAGAATCAGTACTTCTACTAAAAGGCAGATAATTGAAAACATGAGATATTTAGTTCTCATTCTTCTAAGGGTTTTGTTACTGGGTACATGGTGCACCTGTAATACGTGAAAACCAAATAAAATTCCTAAGGCAAAACATTTCTTGGTTTGCCACAAAATATCCTGCTCGTGTTCAGCATTCCTACTGACCACCTATTAAAAAAACCCCACAAAGCAAACAAAATCCAACAAAACCCCCCAAACAATCCTCCACCAAAAATCTCCAACCTGTCCCAGAACCAAACCCCCTCCCCTGCACCACTCTCTCAATGTTATCATTCCAATAAATACGAAAAACTAAGATTTCTTTTTTCCCTTAAGTATGAATTCTACGTTCTCCTCTCAGGTATCACGGTGCCACCACAGCTACCACCACTAAACATAATATTCCTGGTGCCATTTGTAGGAAATGGTGAACAGAAAGGGGCACCAGGACAGGTAGCAAACTGTGAAAAGGCTGGGACTGTGAGGTTAATCTTAACACCATGTTGTTGACACAGTAATCAATAAAAAAAAAAAAATCCACCCCCCAACTCACTGCCAGCTGATTTTGGAATTAATTGTACTGTTCTGATGAATGGGGCAAATTCAGCTTTCGTGTAACACCTCTGAAGGTAACGCTGCCCCAACTGTCAGGTTACACAAGGACTGTTTTCTTTTCAACCAGAAGGGACACCGTTTTTTTTCCTTAATGTAAGCCCGAAGGCCAAGTAATTTTCAACAGCACTGGTGTTCTTGCCAGAGTTTATGGCAATGGGATAATGGAGCAGTCAAGGGTTCTCAAAGTAGTTTGCAAGTCTTAACTGCAGCAATGTTAAAAACATGCAAAAGCAGTAATTGATTTTGAAAAAACACTGGGAGTTGATTTTATGCTTGTTAAACAGCACTCTAGCAATTATCTTGATCATCAACATCTTAAAATAGTAAAAATTAATTTTGTGCTTAAATTGCTTACATAAAATACAGATGATTTATGTTAATGCTCTAAAATTGAGAAAAACACGGAATATATGACCTTCAGACTCCCATCTTCTCCCTTTGCCTGAAGACTCTTACTGACAATGACTCTTACTGACAATGACTCATTTGTTGGCAATGGTTTATTCTTAGCAATTACAGACTTAACATGAATGTTTAAATACCATCAAAAACATTATGATATTTCAAAGTACATTAATGCAACGTTGGTACAATCTGTGAAATCCAGAGCAATCACAAGCGAATACCAGATGAAAAGTTACTTCCACTTTCTGCCTCAGTGTAAATGGGGAGCTCAAAGTGGGCAAAGAGCCCCAGGAAAGGGTCTGTGCTCAAGGCCAGTCACTGCCAGGCTGGACCCTAAACCCCATAACTGTCCTCTAAAGTCCTGGATCCTTTTAAAAAGATCCATAAAACAAAAAAAGGCACAACAAGACAAATGTGTCTTTTCATTGCTTCGGGTTACTTATTCTTCTTTTGTGAAAAGATGAGATACTCAGTCTCAGAGAACAAGATAGACATTGTGTGAAAACATCCTTTCACACTCTTTCATCATGTCCCTTCCTCATTTTGTTCTCCCCAAGCTTGTGCATAACCACTGCACCAGCACTTTGCTTCATTCTCTTCACCAAGGAAGCATTTTCTGACTCGCCTCTCACATTCTTGTCACTCAGAGCTCTGGCTCAAGGTGTTTTTTATAAATCTCAGTAAGACTGGCTTTTAAAGAAGCTACTGCCCCACTTGCTCTACTCATAGTCTACTCCTCAACTGACACATTCTGATGTATAAACTGATACGTTTCAATCAGCAACATCTGTTTTCAAAGCAAATCAGTCTCCAGGCTCTACCTTAAATCCACAGCTGAGCTGAACTGAAAACAGCTGAATCTGTTCAGGACCCAGTGGATTGCTCCACTTGGTCTTTTCCTTCTTGTTCCTCCTCGTTATTCTCTTCTAAGGATTGCAATCTCCACAGCAAAGGAAGCAAACCAGAAAGGAAGGTCTGCCCATCCCTCTGCCCCAGGGTAAGCTGTTTTGGTTGCTGCCATTTGTTTTTGTGATTTAACCACACGCCACATAAAAGCAATAGCATCATGATGATTTTGCACTAAAAAAGATTATTTTTTTCTGTTTTCAAAATATTACTTCGGTGTTTTTCCCATTTGTAGCTGGTGCTTTGAAAATTTGAAGTTTAGTGTGCTCAAAATCCTTGTAATAAGGGACTGATTTATTTTGCAAAGTTGTGAACGTCAAACACAGTAAATTATTTAGATTGAATTATCATAGAATCTATTTAAATACTTGATTCACTGATAGAATTGCAAATTTCATGGCACAGCAGGAAAAGGTTATCTATTCCTTGATCAATTTCTATCAAAAATTAAAATGCAGAGGTTTCTTCTACTACTTGATTAAAACATGACTACCTTCCTGAAAATTTAATCTCGTTTTGTCCCAACTTCTTTAAAAATAAAACCAAAAAGTACTTCAGCATTTCTTTTATTCCCTATCTATCATGACACACTAAATCTATCCCAAAGTTTAAGGCAGCAGAACCACCCAAACTCTCACATAATCCCTTTCACCATTCACTGCACATAATCTTTCCTACTCCTGGGCAGAATCATCCTCTCCAATCACAATTTCCAATTCTACCCATCTCTGCAAGTGAAATTTTGGACTCTGGTTGGAAAAGGAAGCCTGATGAGAGAAATAGTTCCCACTATCACAAATACTGGAAGGAAAAACTGAGAATAGTCCTCTCCTCTTTCAAATCTTGGACAATGTGATTCTGACAGCCTTGCAAATATAACTTCCAGAAAAACAAGAAAGGGTGCCACAAGATTCTTGACAACAAAAAATTTAATGCTTTCAGTAGGTTTTGGGAAAGATTAATATGCAGAAATATGTTTATAAATTACACTTAATTACAAAATTCTCAGCCTTGCAGGTTTATTTTCCCAGCAAATGCAGCTCTGTTAAAAGAAACTTAATTTCTCTAAGACACACACAGCTAAATTTAGAGGCCAGGAAGGAAAAAAAATGGGCAAATTTGTTAAATGGAGGGAGATAAAGTGACAGATTACAATCAGAGACCAAAATAGAATGTAAGCAGTAAAAAGTCTGAAGGAGCACAGAAGAAACAAAGTGTTGTATTACCACAAATAATATCCAACTAATTAGCCAGAAAATGTTGCCTTAGAAGCTGACTCTCAAACCAGGAAACAAAAGAATGATTAAGTGTTAGAAAAGCAAAAACGATATAAAAACATGAAAACATTATTTTGCATAAAAATTTTCTATTTTCCTAATTTTAAGAGCTTCCAGTTGACAATAGGGCACATAGGGAAAAAAATAGAAACAAAAAATTAAAAGAAATCAAGTAATCCAAGCTGCTAATTCTTTTACTTTTTCCTTCCACTTTCTGTACATCCTCAGTCTCCCCATGCAGTTCACTTAATCTAACGAGAGCTCCACACTGAGTTTTTGATCTTCTGGAGTATCAGTGCTCATATGTAATATTGCTGGACTCTTCTGAGTATATGTAGCACCTCACACACCTCAAATCCAATCCTTATTCTGTTTAGAGACACTTCACACTAAAGCACTTCTCTTTCTATAGCAGGTGGTGTTTAACTGCTCTATCCTTATGCGCTCCTTGCAGTTTTAAGATGCAACACAACTTTTAAGAAATGTTAATTCAATTTGGAAGGACTCAAAACCTACCTTTAAACTAGACTCATAGTCTGTGTTCACTTTGAACATAAGCCCAAGTCGCAAATGAATTTCCTTGGCTCGACAAAAGCTGGGATCAACATAAAGCGCCTCCTGAAATGCTTTAATTGCCCTGAAAGAAAAACACAGAATGAAAAATTATTTTTTTTACTCAAGTGTCACTTTATAATCAACGTTATTTATATGACTAACAGAAAGTGGATCAGAAAGCACTGCTGCAGAAGAACATATCAAAATAATGGTTTACAAGTAACGTTTTTGGTGCATGGCTTTTGATTCTTCAAAGATTGGGTAATTCTGTACTCCAGATATCCTGGTGTATTTGAAAGTCTAATTTTTTCTATTAGTTTAGAGAAAGTAATTTGCTGCATGAAATACAGTATCACATCTGATATTTCAGAAAGGATGACTCACCAATTAGTGCAACTTTAGAACAATAAACACAATACAGAGATCGTTCATGTCACTACAACAGCTAGGCTGCTTTTGCTTCCAATAGTGCAGCAGCAGAGGAAAAGAGAAGGCCTAGGAGAGATCAGGCACATCTCCTCTCACTGCACCAACCTGCTCCTTTTTCCTCTTTCTCCTCCCTTCCCTAGCACCAGTGCCATGCAGGGACTCAACTAACACCTACTGCTCCATTACTTCCGAGTCACTCAATTACTTCCAGGAAAACATAGATACAAAAGCCTGCCACTTCCTCCCCTCTGTAACTTGCTTTCACATTCCCATGATAGGTGAAAATGCCTCTGTACTTCAAATCCTCTCCCACATGCCCCTGTTAATGATGGCGCTGCACCAGACAAAACAAAAATGTCATCTAGCAACTCTGTCTTGGAGTAGAAACGACGTGACTCTAAACAGGACTGTGTTGTCTCTCAGGACAACTGCATAAAACTGGGACAGCTGAAATGCAACTAAAAGTTAACAGAATTAAAGTCACAGAGGAATTGAGAAAGAAGCTAAGACTCATTGTTGCCTGAAATCCAATGACAGATTGAAACAAAATACCTTCACATACACCACTGCTCACACAACAATTCTGAAATGAGAACCAGTCCCAGTTTAGGGTAGGTTTGAGCCCCCAGGCCAGGGAGCACAGTCCCATCTGCTGTCCCAGGGAAACTCAGAGATCGAGGCCAAGTAGGCAGGTGACAGGACAGTCTTTGGGGAGAGCTGTTCCCACAGGGACATGGGACAGGAATTGCCCACAGTGCCTAAAATCACACACTGCTTAGGAACACTGACTTAATCCCTCTCTCCAAGTGCAGTATTATTTATGAGGAAAAAAAGGTAAGCAGCTGCAATGGGAAGTTCAAATAATGTTTTTCATACTTTTTTATTTACAAAACACATAAATGATCATTTTTTAATCCATTAGCAAAAATGCTTCTGCTCTAAAATTCTTACAGGCTTTTTTCTCATTGACGGCAAACCAAAGGTACAGAACTTCCTCTAGACAATGCAACAACTGTTCGTACCTAAAGCATTATTTCACTTCTTTAAATAGAAGTTAAGAGCAGATGAGCTTAAAAAAGTATTACATTTCTATTGTGGAACTGAAGCTTCCTTTACTACAACCCTTCAGAGAGACTTTGCTTACCCAGTACCCTACTTTTCTGCCTACACAAGGAAAATGAGCAAGTGAAGAGCTAAAGGGACAAACCTGTACCAGGCTCAGCAGTCTCTCACATCTCATCTAAACCTCCCTGGAATCATATGGGTGGTGGTGAATCACACACCTCAGAATGTACACTGATTTCAAAACAAACAAGGATCCATGTCTCATAACAGTACATTCATCATCATCATCATCATCATCATCATCATCACCTACAAGAACCCCGCTCAAACTAGAAGGCCAAAGACTGATCACTAAATACCAGCATAGATTTTAAGCCAGGCTTTTGTTCTGCCAAAGGAAAGATCTGTGATTATATATTTGCATTTCTTGTCTTAACTCTAATCTGGTACTCGGTATGTTAGCCACTGGTATTTAAAATCCATTATTTTTATCTTCTTCAAAGACAGTATCCTAAGTTCTAAAAAAAAGAAGAAAACCACTGTCTTATCAAAGTCACAACAAAAATCAGGAATAAAGACATTGCAGTTCTGTAACAGAGATTGTGACCACACTCATAGACACTTTGGGAACTTTGCATTCTTCCTTTTAGCTATCTTCCTTGGTCAAAAAATAGTATTTCTGTATTTCTCCTATGTCATGTCTCAGTTGCAAAAACCACAGAAAGGTGGACTTCTAAAAAAGCTTAAGATAATCTGTAAGAGACAGAAATATTCCTGTAGTCTCTTGCTTACAGAACAGGAAATATTATTCATTGCCACAGTTGAGCAATAGAGTTAAACAAAGCCACAAAAATAATAAAAGATTTTCAAGGACAGTTTTGAAATTTAGTTTGAATGTACGTTTCATTCAAAAAAACCCCAAGAATGTTGCCTACCCCAGTCTTACAGAGGAGCACAGCACTTAAAAACCAGTAAATTGTAATCAGTGGACAACATAAAAAGGATGTGTCATATGCAGCACAGAACCTGCTGGTTCACATCCCTCCAAGGTCTGTGAAGGTTTATCTCTGTGCAGACTAAACTAACTAAAAATCAAGTTTTAGCCTCTACTAAACTCTAGTGTTAATTCCATCTTGATTTTACAATTTGTAGTTTTTCCAGGATGAAAAGCATGAATAATAACAAATAGAAATTACTTCCGCTACTTCTGTAAAAAAGGGCATCCTCAAAATTTCACCAATGAAGTGATCTGAAAGGGCATTTTCAATAATTTTTACCAGTGGTAGGGGCTCATGTCTAATTTGGTAACTATAGCCTCGTTTCAAATAGTCAGTAGAATTTTTTAATGGGATAAAATACTCAACCTGTGAAAAGACATTTACCCATTAACTCTTACAGACAGACAAGCAATTTTACATCATAGCTGAATTAATATTGATGTAATTTCACCTCCAGGAAACACTTAAAATAGGAACATGCTCACGAATACAGGACACATCAAGAACATCGACTACAGTAAAAACCTCTGTTTTATTCTGGGATTGCCTGTTTTCCACTGCCATGCCCAGAGCTCCAGACTTGGTCCCTTATCACATCAACAGCAGAACACCTGCAGCATCACTGACACCCATTTCAGTTTAGAGTGGTCAGTAACACCCAACACAGACACACTGGGGCTTGGTACAGGTTGGTACAAGAAGGATGTGGAAAGTAGGAGCAAGTGTTGTGGTAGTAAAGGGAAACAGGAGAGAACATGGCCCAGTGTTGGAAGCTTCAGTCCTTCCCAGCCCATCTGTTTGATGGGTTGAGTGGGGCCTTCCAGATACAGCTGGAGTCACTTGAGTCTTGTACAGATCTTTGTTTTCTCTGAAACATCACTAATCCCATTTCTGTTCTCTGTCCAAGCTTACATCCAGAAAGATACGGGTCTAGAGGATCCAAGGCATCCAAGTTACCCAGATGTTTTCCCTCAAAGCTCTTTCATGGTTTGAATAAAACCAGAGGAGCAGATACAACCAAACAGCTGTGTGATCTGTCACATACAAAGCAGAACTTGGCTTCAGAGTCCTCCTTCAGGGATGATGGCACAGAGCCTTCCTCAAGTAGGTTGAGTGTCTCCACCACTAAGTAACTGCCCTTCATGCAGAGACAGAACTTTTAATTTTACTCCTTCAGCAGACTAAACAAACACGAGTCCATAGGAGAAATTACTGAACGAAGGGCCGGGTGCCCTCGTACTGCAGAAATAAATGACAGTCGTCTAAATTCAGCAAGAGACGAGTCTCCTTTTGTTCCCTGATGACACTGCCAACTGCGTGGTAAGAAACAACGTTGGCTGAGTCTACAAGAATTGATTAAAATCAAATAAGGATTTTTCTCCAAGAATGAGAGCATTTCTACCAACAGGCAGGAAAGGCTATCTAGCACTCAGCAAAACGGGAAAACAGGACTGGAAAACAGGCACTACGAGGGATGAAAAGCACCTCTGGACCTTCATTTTACACAGCACTGCTACAGCAATTTGGGAAAAATAAAAATGACATGAATCTTCATCTCTAAATCAAGACTTCCAGAATCAATACTGCAGCTATCTTCCCACCCACTAATCTATACAACAATGCTTACCATTATGAAAGTGAAGAAACCAGATGAATAATAATTAATAGATGATTATATTAAACATTTAGTGAACTCTCATAAGACTTTTATTGGATGGCTATGCTTGAATAGACTGTGAATAAAATCAGCTTTGTACTAAGCAAAAGAATGTAATAAAAGAGCAACAATTTAACTATTCAAAAGTTAACACTTTTGTACATTTCAAACAAAAACCATGAAAATCAGAATGAGCCTACAAAATAAAAGAACCTAACATTATTCTAATGTGCCTCTTGATGCAGCTGGAGTGAAACTTTCTTTTTCCTATTCTTATCGTCTTTCAATTTTCTGACCACCTATTCTAAGCCTCATGTCATTTAATGAAAGTGATGTGAGCTATGATTGAGAATTCCTATTTGAAACTCATAATCATAGTTTGAACATACACAAAATGTACACACACAGCACTACTCAGGCACTGCAGTTTATGAAATACTTTTACAGTCTTTAGCTACAACTCCTCTGTCCACAGGGCTGCAACAGTTGAATGGTGAAATATTTTGAGCAGCAAAGTCTTAGAACAGCAGCTGAGAGTAGGCTTTTTTTCCTATCATTAGCAGAGTTTTCATCAATCCAATAAGTGGTTTGCTGTACAATCACAGAAAGACAACAAAAAGAAAGTTAACTTGATGTCAAGATCCAATTTTGAATCTGAGTTGGAGAGTCAGAAGCAGACATGGTGGTCCCAGATATTGTGATATCCAGACACTGAACGATGATGACAGTGCTTCTGCTTTGGCAAGGATCACTGCAGATGGGTCAAGAAGTTCCACTCAGAGATGACCAATTTTCCTCAGGCAGTCTCCATCTTCAGCCATGATGGAGGTGAAAAAAAGGGTCTGGATCATCTCTTGCATCTTTAGCTTTTTTCAGGGTCAATGCTGAAGGAGTGAGTTTTACACAATACTCAATTTTTACAGCTGATAAGGAAACCCTGGACTGAGGTGAGGAGCCTCAGGGCAATGAGCCTAAAATGGGGCAGTAATGGTGACTGATCTCAGCTTCCTGCAAGGTGTTTCTAAGGAATCCTGTGTCTTTCTCACACACGTTGTCCAGCAATTTGCAAGGTGACAGTCACTGAAAACACTGCAGGCTGGCCGTGGAGCACCACAGCTGGCACACTGGGATCCAGAGGCTGTTAAATCCATTCCAGGACACAACAGCAGAGCTTGGACTCCATCCTTCCATCTTGATGGAAGCCAGTGTAAACCAGCAGATGACAGACAAGTCAGAATCCTCACTGAAGTAAAGAAAAAATCTGGCATCCAAGCCACTACACTTGGATGCAGGTATTGCACAGGAATGAAGGGTAGCCTTGGATTAACTACTGAAATTCTTTTATGTTCAATCTAAAAGACAACTACAGAGGACATGAAATTATTCAAGTGACGTGAATATCTCAGCTAACCCTATTCTACCTGTTGTCTAACAATAGTGAAAATCAGACAACCACTTTACTTACTGCTTGATGGTAAATGGTGCAAAAGAAGGGAGTATCAAAATTTGAGACCCCTAAGACCTATTTTACTATACTCAATTATGGAGCTATTCCCTTATGGCAAATCTTACTGTTATAATTGCATGGAATAGCTTTCTGTTGCAATGTTTGTATATATGCTGGGAACATTCAGTACTTGCACAAACAGTCAAACAAAATGACCAACGTAAAATGCTGTATCAGCTAGGATTTGTACTTAAGATAATGCTGTAAAGCTGCATTAGGATATAAATGAGTGTACAATATTGAATTACAGTGAATTGCATATGCGTCTTGGATCCAATCCAACACTTCATTTTATGAAAGCTGGAAAACTTAAGAAATAATTTCAAAAAATATGAACAAGAATTCTAAAGTTGACCTTATTCCCACTTGCTTTTTTATTATCCCTGTTTACATGAGATGTGAAAAAACCTCAAGCACTTCCTCACGCCTTCCTTTTAGGAGGACTATGTACTTGCTTCTCATTAAAATCTCTGAATATCTAAAGTGGTGTCAATAAAAAAAAAATGGATGAAGTATGATAGCTTAAACCACCTTAAACAGCCTAGAGGTCTCCTCTACCTGCCTGAAATATAAAGATCCGTGTCCTATGAGCATAAATAGATGGAAAAAATGCAACAGGAAATAAGGCAGTTTGACCAGCATTTCACTGTGAAAGAAGGAGGATTCTCCTTGCAAACTGCAAGAGACTTCTGAGGAGAATTAAGGTCTACCAAGAACATCCCCTGTAAATGACTTGCTCTCATCTCCATGTTTATTATGATTTTGTCACAACTAAACACCCACAACCACACATCCCACTCCGCTCGCCCCTAAGAAAACACAGAAAAAGGGGGAGGAAAAGCACTTGAAGGGGTTAAAAATCAATATTGCACATAAAGGTGTAAGATTTTACCTACATTAGATTTTCTTCCTCTAAAAATTCTACCAAATACTTTAATGATACACAATTTTCTTAGTATCACACCATATGTAACTTTGTTGTACGAATGAAATGGCAAATATGATTATTCTACACAACCTTAACATAAGCTTTATGTGCAGTTATGCCAGTTAAGGCACCAGCTTATACTCATGTTCTCAATAACCTCACTTAAAGGCATGGAAGAAAAATCTAAATTAATTCAAAACTCTAATTTATTAATACTTAGGCCTCACAACCACCTAACTTTGCTGCTCCATCCGCTGTAAGGTGCTAAATAGCACAATCTGCTAATGGCAAAAGCCTGTGTTGAGCAGGTGGTTATATGAAAGATTAACTACTCTAAATCTAAGTGCTTTGTGTTATTTAATTTTATCTACCACTTTCACAGTGCAAGTTGTAACAAGATCCACCTTGTAAGACCTTGTGCACAGAGTACTTCTGAATGCTAAATGCTGAAGACAAGACTGCGTAAGAAACAGAACAATCTGGAACTTGGTGAAATTCAACCAAGGCTGATCCCAATCTTAAACAGTGGATTCTCAGGTTTTCTGAAAACTTTTCTGTTCTTCTCTTGTTAATTAGAATGCAATAGAATTGCATGTCACATACAATACACGGCATTCATTTCACTGCTATCAACAAAGAAAGCAGTAAATTGCAAGATAAAAAAAAAAAAATCCATGTTTCAAGCTCGTGACTTAACCAATCTATTTTAATTTGAGAAATAAAAGTTTTATGTGCATTTTCCTGAGGAAAGCAAAAATCTTTTCTCTTACAGGTACATAAAAACAATTTACTGAGGGGTGGAGGGAGAAATCCCACCTCACTGCTCCAACCCGTCAGTCGGTGGTCACTGAGCGTCTCTGTAACTGCAGTCATTCTTAGCTCAGTAAGACAATGAACCTTTCTAGCAATCAATCAAGTACTAAAGTCACACTTACTGTACTAACAGTTTCCACACTGAGTGTAACAAAGCACTGATATCAACACTACACCCTTCTGACATTTTTGCAGTGACACTGACTTCACTCCCTGCAGGAATAAACCCCAATGAAAGTCTGAGGACCTTTCAGTAGAACTTCAGTGACCGAGTCCATTCTGTTTGCTGTTCACCACTCTCATCACAGACAAGGCAGAACCAAAATCCCAGCTGGAAACCAACCCTCCCTCCATGCCCAGCAGCCCTGTTCAGTCCCCAAAGCCATGACAGAAATTACAACTCTTTAACTCTCAGTTTTTACATCAGTTTTAAACACTGACTCAAGTCTGGGTGTGCTGCTTCTCACATCCAAAACTCTCCTCTGATGTAAAAATTGCTGACTACCAAGTGAAATGAAAACAATCCCATTTTCCCACTTCTTTTCCAAGATGAAAGTTTTTTGTAAACAGGCTTTCCAACATGCACAGGCTACAGACTGTTGATAACAATTCACAAAAGCCTGCTGAGTCATTCTGCTCCATCCCCTTTGCTGAAGCCTGTTACAGGGAGCTAAAATTCTCCTGTCAGTGCTTTCCCTTTTCAAGCAACTGCTGTGGCTGCCCCAAGTCAGGTATGTGACCCAGGACAGTTTCACCTGCAAACATCGTATCTCTAATAAAACCAAAAATAAACTATGGCACGCTCACACTGAACTGAAGGTGAAATACTCACACACCCATGAAACACCACAAAAACTATCAATTTATTCCAACTTACCATTGAAAGGCATTGTAATGGAAGTAGACCAAACCAAGGCCATATAAAAAGGCAGCATTCTGTAAAGGAAAGAAACAGTGTTTAAAACCCAGATTAGACAACCATATGCTCTAAGATTCAGTTTCCAGTATTTTATTCATCCTTTGACATTCTATTTCCATTATAAGATACGTGTATTTAAAATTCACCTTGAACGGGAAGAACCAAAAAGAAGGAATGAAAAGATGGGCAGACATTAAAAAGAAGTGATTCTCCATGATCACAAAAAAGGGGATATTTTTGGAGGAAAAGTAATAATAATATTCAAGCACTTTTACACCAGAGAAACCGATGTGCTCTGTTCTACTTGTCCAAAAGCAGGGAAGGAAATGATGAAGTGGAAATCTTTGGCAATTTAATATAATAATAATAATAATAAAAAATTTATTACCAAACACCATTTCATAGTCATAATAATTTATACTTACATAGAAGTAAACAAAGCTACACACTGTAATTTGTGTCTAATGTAGAACATTAATTAAATGAATCTGAGAATATGCTTAAGGAAATGTCACTTTCCTGAATACCAAAAAATAAAGACCATCAGCTTCAAACCTATGACAATCATATTTCTTCATCATTAATCAAATTTCTATTTCCTATCTCCCTATTCTGCTGAAGGGAAAAACCAAACCAAAACAACAAAAAACATTCCCCTTCTGGAAACCCATTTTCCCTCCATTTTCTTTTCACAGAAACTGTGATTTACTTCTAAAGTGAAATTACTAATGACTTTTAATGAATGTTTAACTATCCAGTTCTATAAATAATTAATACATATTTCCTAAATTCTGAAAAATAAACAAACTGCTTTTTCTTTTGCAAAGTTAGGCCACAGCACAGTTGTTTTCTATTTAGCAGAGTTAATCCATTATTTACAGGAGACAACATTGCACATGCTGCCTGTGACACATTTTTAGGCTTTTCTTATACGTAATTCTGATTCTGAAAGAGCAGGTATAGATCCCAAAGCTCTGACACATGGATAAGAGCTGGAGTTTCCACTGTTGAAGACTGTACTTCAAGATAATCCCTCTTCCACTTGCACACACTTCTTCAGCAGATCCCATTTATAAGCAATTCCACACAAGGAATCCTAGTTTTGCCTTAAAACCAATCCAGATATGAGAGTTATAACCAAATTTCTCCTATAACATAACTGGTAACCAGAAGACAACTCAAAGAGCAGCATTCATCAGAAACAGGACCTAATATGACAATTTCATTATCCCTCATTTGTGTCTTCCAAATGCAAATGAAAACCAGGGGAAATGCCAAAGATCCTTTCACGAGTACAGCTGGATCATGGCTCCAGCAATGGACAGCTTCCAAAAAAATGCTGTGGTAGAACCAGATACTACAGCAATCAGAGCACTGGAACACGTGAACAGGACAAGTGGAGGGGGAAGTGCCTAAACAATAGAGGATGACACTTTAACACTACCATAAAACCACATTCCTGTTTCATTCAACAAAAACACAACACGGACATCATAAAGAGAAAAGATCTTCCATGTTTTTTCCACTCTCCAAGTGTGCTCTGGGAACAAGAGACGAGGTGGAAGGCAAGCTCAAAAGCTGAGCGTATGTAATACCTTGATTTAAAAGTCATTTTAAATGAGGAAGTAAAATAGATTTTCACATGTGCCACATGGAAGCCTACAAAACACAGCACACACCAGGAACCTTCACTGTGCTTGGGTCAGGCTCATCTGTAGAACAGAACTTAAAATTATCCAGTATCACTTCTGATATCCCCCAATCTCAGTCCAGTCTAGATCATCATAAAGATTGAGAATAACAGTGATCACGAAAATCCTTCTTTGCCATACTGCAAAATTCAAACAAAAACACGCCAGACCACTAAAACCTCTTCAACCTGCAAAGAATTTAATTTCCTCTTATGGAATCCATCACATTTTACAGTCCAAGCAAGTTACAGATTCAGGATCGTCTCCCTGATGATATTTTGATCCTAAGGGTTAATAGGAACCAACTTTCAAGGCACAAGAGAACCAAGATGCAGGCGATTTTTCAAAATGTAATTTATGTATCAAGTTCACATAAATCTTTCAGATGGACCTCACGCCACTAAAGTACAAATAAACCATCACTGTCCTTCATTCTGTGACTGGTTTTCCCACTCTTCTCTCACTCTCCTTTAGCCTTAAAAACCTTTTAGGACTGATCTCAAAAATATGTTAAGCTGCCACTGTCTTCTCAGTGAAAAACAGGGCAAGATCTAAGAGATCACCTCAAATGCAGAGGTGCAAATTCTGAAATGTCAGTATGGCTCATGAATTTATCTGTTCTGACACACGTGTGACACCATTAGTACTGCTTGTTCATAATATTAAGACCAATCTAATAAACTAAGATTAAAAATTATATTTTAAACTGAGTTTGAACTTGGAACACGACTTTTGCAAGGACTGGAAGACACCACAGTGTTCCAGTGCGTGGCACTTTCCCACAAATAACTGAAGGGGAAATACACATAAAGTTCATTACTTTTGCAGAATACCAAGTTCAACGTGCAGTCAAGTTCCTATTGGTAACAGCCAATATGAAAAGCTACAACAGCTTAATGCAGATCAGGACCAAGCAGGATCACTACACAAAATTTTCATCTACAAAATGTCGTTTTTCTTAAAATCATAAGATTCTGTGACTCTGTTTACCACAACACAGCCCGTCTTAAGAAATCTGTTTTCGGTTGCCTCTGCTAGTTTTATTTGACAAGTTTCTCACAAAGAATATCCATTCCATGTGTTCCAGTAAGGATTAATCTTGTAATTTTGTCCCTGCTACAAACAGCTGGTGAGGTAGAATGTAAGCTAAATTTTTTCCCTCCAAACATTTTTTTAGTGAGAAGTAGAGAACAAAATTATCTTATTACAATCCTTTGCTTGAATTTCTTGACAACCCACAAAATTTCTGAGGACCTCATGCTAGCAAAACTCATTCTTTGGCTACTAACTTCTAGTTTAATTTTTATGTTATCCGAGCTTTCTTTTCACTAAAATCTAGAATAAAAAAAAAGATACAAACCAAAACAGACCATGCTTCAAACCTGAAGGTGAATATTTGGATTTTTTCATTTTACAGCCATGCAACTAAAAGCAGAGAAATCAGAAATGCTATTTCCAAGCTGACATCATTTACATTTTCTATGAACTATTAAAAAATGTTAATATGTTTCATGCCAACCACTAGATGGCTCAAATACCTCTTTCCATTTTCCACGCTTATGCAATTTAAGAAAATTGTCAAGCTTTTATTGTGCATTCTGCTACTTACACGCACTATTTAAGGCTGAACAACAGTTCAATTCTATTTTATAAAACAGTGTGGCATATACATTTTTGTCAACAGGTAGCTCAGAAGGCAAAAATACATCTCTATGTACCTTTTTAGGCAACTGATCTGAATAAGCATATTTGAGACTTTTAGTCTTGTCTGTTTTGAGCAATCAAGCAAAAAGAAAAAACAACCAATGAGGAAGACTCCACCCATCTCACAGGCCTTCTATCAAACAACTGGTTTATAGTCTCTTTGAAGCAGCAGATGGAAACAGATCCCCAACATTCCATGAGTTCTGTTCTCCAGGCATTTCAGGCCAAGTCCACACAAAGCCTTTTTCTCCACCTTTAAGGGTGCAGGCAGCAAATCCAGCAGAAAGACACAGCCCAGCCCATCACAGTGACACTTTATCTATAATAAACACAGGGCCAGAAAAATGCACCTGTCCCATCTAACAAGTGGCCACACTCACATTCAGATTACAGACACCCATCTTGGACTGACTCTACAAATGTATGGCTGCCACATCTGGGCCCAGATGTTCTCCACCAGTAACACACTTATCTCTCACATGCAGTTGAGACCCTGTTACTGACTCCAAATTCGTGTTTTATAAACACAAGACTTAACCAGGAAGTTATGCTTGCAAATGAAAATCTCTCCAGCAGGTACTCCTAGAGAGTATGAAAAGATGTTAAAGACCCAGAGCAGTCTCAGGGCAGCATCCAGCCAGGGCCTTGCCATTTAAAAAGGAAAAGGAACAGTTTTTGCCATAGTTCCATGGTACTGCTGATGCAGAAACATTCCCAAACACTGCCTCTCGTTTGTGCTGACACAAGCATTTTTAGAGTAGTGTCATTCAGCCAACTGAATGACAGAACTGATCTGAGTTATTAATAACCAGATAAAACGGATTATTTAACTGGATCATTCTCCCAGGCAAGTTCACTGGTAGCTCCCCATAAACAACAGCATTAGCACAAGTAACAGATTGGAACATAAGTAAAAACTCTCTATGCCTACACTGCTACAACCAAAATGCAAATCAAACCTATAGTGACTTTTCAAACACTACTGAAGCCTCCTAAGCTACATATCAATGTTTGACTTGAGAGAAAACAGCATCTATGGCTCAGCACAAGATGGATAAAAACATGAAATGCCATCACAGCCTCCTGTCAGCCTCCTTCATGTAGGTCCTTAACCAGTGAGACACGTAGGCAAATACACCATTTCTGCTATCAGTACAAATAAATATCTCCAAGGGGGTGTCAGAGTTTGGTGCCAGGCTCTTTGCAGTGGTGCCCAGCGACAGGACAAGGAGCAACGGCCCCAAACTAAAACACAAGAAGTTCCACCTCAACGTGAGGAAGAACTTTATATTGAGGATGGCAGAGCACTGGAAGAGGTTGCCCAGGGAGGGTGTGGAGTCCTCCCCTCTGCAGACATTCCAAACCCACCTGGACACATTCCTGAGTCACCTCCTCCAGGTGACCCTGCCTTGGGAGAGGGGGGGGTTGGACTGGATGATCTCCAGAGGTCCCTTCCAACTCTAACAATTCCGTGATTCTTTGTGACTCTATGGGGCAGGGCCAGATGGAGGTAAAATAATTCACGGAATAATATGTCCTCATTAAAAAGTAGGCAATATTTAGGCAGAAATCAGTGTGTACCTCACCACACTACAAAATAAACAAAACAAGAGAAACAAAGT